TCTGAGCGCGGTCACTGCGGTTACCAGGGCTTCTGTCTGCCGTGTGAGTGTGTGTGAGTGTGTGTGCGCAGGCGCGGTCTGAGCGCGGTCACTGCTGTTACCCGGCCTCCGTGTCTGCCATGTGTGTGTGTGTGTGTGCGCGCAGTCTGAGCGCGGTCACTGCTGTTACCCGGCCTCCGTGTCTGCCATGTGTGTGTGAGTGTGTGTGCGCAGGCGCGGTCTGAGCGCGGTCACTGCTGTTACCCGGCCTTCTGTCTGCCGTGTGTGAGTGTGTGTGCGCAGGCCTCCTGTCCGCCGGCACCGCGTTTCCCCCGCTGCCCGTTACAACTTGGCGCCCCTGCCCCTTCCGCGGGCTTCCTCCTCGGACCTGGCGCGGCCACGGGCGTTGGCGGGCTCGCCTCCCCAGCGGCGCCCGCTGGCAGGGGAGCGACACCGGCTCTGAGATGTACAGCTGTCAGCTCTTCCCCGGCGGTTTGCTCCGTCCACCCACATCCTGGTGGAAGCTCCCAGGAAACAGCGCCGTCCCGGGGGACCGAGGTTCGGCAGTGGCGAAAGCAGCGCTGGGTCTTTCCGGGTTTGCGCCCGGCCCGCGGGGCCCGCGCGCCGGACTACATTTCCCAGGAGGCCTTGCGCGGCAGGCACGGCCGCGGGCGCTCAGCCGGTAGGGACCGCTGAGTCCTAGGCGAGCTGTGAACGCGATGGCCGCGTGGGCCGAACGGCTGGCCGGCGTGCGCGGGGTGCTGCTCGACATCTCGGGCGTGCTGTACGACAGCGGCGCGGATGGCGGCACGCCGATCGCTGGCTCGGTGGAGGCGGTGGCGAGGTGAGTAGGCCGCAGGCGGGACGGAGGCGAGCTCTCGGTTTAGCTAGCACAGCCGACGTGCCGAGGGGGGCGGGACCGAGGGCCCGGTGGCCCCGCCCCTCCCGTCTTCCCGACTCGACCACGCCCGCCCCGAGCGGGTTCCTCCCACCCCCGAGCTGGCCCCGCCCTCCCTGGCTGGCCCCGCCCCACCCGGCGTGCTAGCGGCCCCGAGGCCGGGGATGCTGGAGAACCAATCAGGTACCTGCGCTGCTGAGCGGTCGAGCTGTTTCTAGTCGGCGTTGGGGTGGACTGTAAGAGCGAAATACAGTCCCCAAGCCTAGTGAGGAAAACATAAATAACTCCTTAATGCTTATGTGGCCACATATTGCAGTAATCCTTAATTGCTAGGTGGCGTGCAGTCTAATTCTGGTGATCTTCGTTGGTTTAGATGCAGGGGAGGGCACCTGGCTTGCCCAGCCTTGCCAGCGCAGGACACTCCCACGGTGGGCCCCTCTGGGCCCGGGCTTTGTCATTGCCCTTGGCTTTCCCAGCGAGTCCTGCAGAATGGTGTGTGTGGGCAGTCGGGAAGGGCTCATTGCCCTGCACGTGGCCTGACTGCGCATCCTGCTTTTGTGGCCTGGCCTCATTGGAGTTCAGTTTCCTGACTTACAGGTGGCAGGTAAGGGAGCTCCTTGGTCTTTCTCAGAGCTCCCCGCCCCCTGTGTGTGTGATGGTAAGGACCCAGACTGCTCTATAGTGCAAAGAGGGATGGCAGAGAGGCTGAGAACTCAGAAAAGGGAGGCCTGGCCTTTGGGAGCACCTATAAAAGGTAGCCAGGTTCTAGAAGATGCCCTGGTCTTGGGGTGGGCGGTTATTGTTGGCAGAAGTCCATGTCTAATTGCCTTCCTGGCCTCTAAATTCATTTCCACTAAGCCCAAAGCTTTAGACCGGCTCTGTCACCTAGAGGGCACAGTGTGAGGCCCCGTGGGACTGGAGAAGAGGGCACTGGGCTGTGTGCTTTCAGTGAAGTATTCTTGTGTGAGGGAGCAGGAAGCCAGAGCTGTGACCTAGGCAGTTAGGGCTTGGTGTGTGTGTGTGTGTGTGTCCATGTCTGGAACTGAGGTGGACAGTATTCTGCACACAAGTAACCTGACATACTGGTATAAGGCAAGTAAAGATAGGGCACTGAGTAATCTGATGGGGTGAGTGGCCTGGGCTAGAAGAAGAGCTCCAAGGAGAAGGCATTTCCCTGAGCCACCAGGAAGAAGGAACTCTTAGTGAGAAGAGGATAGAAGTGTCTTCTGGGTAGAAGAGGCAGAAGAGCCTTCTGCGGGGGAGGATAGGGGAGGAGAGAGAAATAACACAGAGAAACATACACAGAGAGAAATATAAACACATGCACAGATAATGAGACACTCACATGTGCTTACAGAGACATATTGGGGCGGGGAGGAACAAACGGATTATATTGAACCAGTAGCATGGGACATGGTGCCTCTTTCATTCTGGGAATGTAATTTCCTATTTGGGAAATGTTCTTGAGCTGTTAGATGCCAGAGAAATGATGTGCTGGTTTCTGTGAGACACCTTGGTGTCCCTGTCTCAGGACCAGGTGATACCTGGTGATTTCCCCACTGATACCTTGTCCACAGGGGCCTCTCAAGTGACCTCTGAGGTCACTCCCACTGGCTCCCAGCCACACAGGCTTCCTGGCGGAGTTGTCACTGAATGGCCTCAGAGTAGCTAGCACCCACAGAGCCCAGCACCCACACTGCTGACCATGGTCAGCATCTACTTTCTCTCTTCAGCTCCATGCAGGCTTGGCTTCCATAGGGTTGAGCCTTCCTGCTCAGGCTCAGAGCAGCCTGTCCATTACAGCTGTCTAAAGTGAGGTGTCAGAGGCCTAGGCCAGCAGACCTTTCCCTCTGGCATAATACACCTGCCTCTGGAACTTACTGTGGGGACTTTCCCTTTATGGTGGTAGAACTAGTCCTGGGTTCTCACAGAATCCTTTGTGGTGGCCGTGCCAAGGTACACGGCGCTGGGCATCCAGGTGGCTGGGTGGCGTTGGCAGCTCCAGCAGCTCAGCTTCCCACAGTTCCCTCCAGCCTCCTTTGAAGCCCTTCAGGGCTCACTGAAAGTCCCCAGGGTGAGACCATCTGCTACAGAGGCACAAATAAAGAGGAAGAATGGGGTTCTGCGGGGAAAATGAGACTTCATGGCAGCTTCTCAGCTCTGCCTCCCCGGCAGCGTCTTTATCCTGCAGACCTAGGAGGGAGGTGGTCCATTGGTCCACTGTCCCCACTCCCCCCCCCACTTTCCTTAGAGGTCTTGAAAGAGTCCTCTTTTATTAGGGAACAGAAAGTACACAGAAAAACATGCTCAGCTGTATGTGTGTGTGTACATGTGCTTGCACATGTGTGCAAGTGCCAGTATTGGAGCTTGAACTCAGGGCCTGGGCACTACCCCTGAGCTTTTTTGCTTCAGGTTAGTGCTCTACCATTTGAGCCACAGCTCCACTTCCAGTTTTTGGTAGTTAATTGGATATGAGTCTCATGGACTTTCCTGCCCAGGCTGGCTTTGAACCTCAATCCACAGATCTCAGCCTTTTTGAGTAGCTGGGATTACAGATGTGAGCCATTGGTACACAAACATGCTCAACTTTTAAAAACAAGATCATTCATAGTGACAGAATCCATGGGTGGACTTTCCACAAGGTGAGTGTTTCTCTAGGTGAGGGCTGAGGCTCTATTTCTGGCCCTGGCAGAAGTGGAGAAAGGGCCAAGCCTTATTCCAGATGATTCCACTCGTTGTCTTCTCACACACAAACAAATGTGCATTGAACACTTCCAGTACCCCACCAACTCTGTTGTAGGCACGGGGGATTTGTGACAGTGGAACAGGTGCAGTGAACAGCTCCTGCCTGGTTTGGGCTCAGGTGGAAGGAGAGAGCCAGAGCCTGCCAGAAATGGAAACCCAGGGATGCTGATCTCTACTGCTCAGGTCCTGCAGATCCCAGGCCAAGATCTTCCCAGGGACATGGGAGTTGTAGGAGATCCATGCTTGTCCAAGCCCAAGGCTGCCTGCTCCTCTGCTTGCTAGAGCTGCTATAAGCCTTGTGTGGACATCGGTAACCAGCCTGTCCCCCCCTCCACCCCACAACAGACCTTTATTGAGTCTATTCCTGGGCGGATTGGGCTCCCAGAGGGGAGCCATTCAGAGGCTGGCCAGGCTCAGCAGGGGCTGCAGCACAGAGGCTCAGGCTTTGGGGCTGGCCCTCAGGATGGCCTGGGGGCATCTGCATGTGAAAGGTGGGTGGACATTTACTGCATCCTGTCTTAGCCACTAAAGCACATCTGCTGGCTCCTCCCAGGGTGCCCCATGGCTTGCTGGCGGAAGGAAACAGGCCTGGCCTCGCCTCAGCATAGCCTCATAAAGCAATTCCCACTCAGGACCCCTCTTCCCTTCCCCTCCCCCCTCCATGCTCTGAGCCAGACCTATAGCCCAGCTCTCAGTCCCAGTGACTGGAAGCCTTGGAGACCCTATGAAAACACAGATGCCTCCAGCCCATCTTGGAGCCGGGAGACCAGAGCTTTGTCTGAAGTCCGGCTGGCGCTGCTCCTTAGTGCTCCTCAGTGCTCTGTTGCCCTGGTAGTGTCTTCCTTAAGGAAGACCCCAGAGTAGCAGTTGTGCGGGCTGAGGGCTGGACAAGCTTCATTCCACTGTCTCCATCCAGCCCGGCTCCTGGGTCAGGCCAGCCAGCGGACCCCGCAGAAGGGACCCCACAGAGATGTCCTCCACAGAGACAGCTTATTTGAGTTTGCTTTACGTCAATGGGAGCTGTCCTGGCTCTGCCCAGACCTTGGCCGAGGGCTGTGTGTGGAGAACGTATACTGTCCCTTGTGTGCCCTCTCCTGACAGGTGGACCCCGTTGTCTTCAGACCCGGGGGAGCGGATTCCGGCTTTCATGTTGTAATGTCAACATGGGAGTTTCACAAGATCGATGGCTGCCTTGTAAATGTTGTCACAAGTACCTGAACACAGAGAAAAGTTCAAGTCCTTCGTCATAGGCCTTATCCCAGACATTGCCCCAGAGTGACCCCTAGGGTCCTCCAGCTTCTGTCCTCTGTGTTCTCTGAAAGTACAAAGACCTGGATCCCTCCCCCCCCAAACTCCCTCTAGACACCTGAGCATTTATCCCAATGAGACTTGGGGGAGAATCCCCCCACAACTGAAAACAAGAACAAAAGAGCAGTGATTGAGTCATTTGTATTTTCTCTATTTAGACCTGTCATGTGATCAACTGATGAAAAGCATAAATGTGTTTTGAAGAATGATGGGGTTGCCAGGTTCTGGTGGCTTAAATTGTAATCTTAGCTACCCAGGAGGTTGAGATCTGAAGAATGGGGTTTGAAGCTATCTCAGGCAAGAAAATTCAAGAGACTGTTATTTCCAATTAGCCAGAAAAAAGCTGGAAGTGGAGGTGTGGCTCAAGTGGTAGAGTGCCAGCATTCTTGAGTGTAAAAGTTCAGAGATAACTCCCAGGCCCTGAGTTCAAGTCCTAGTACTGGAACACACATGTACACACACACATACACACACACACACACCACACATACACTACTACTATGACTGATGATGATGATGATGATGATGATGATGATGATGCTGTTGATGACCATGATGGACTGCACAGTATCATTTCAGTGTGATTAGCTTAAATGGGTGCTGAGAATGATCTGCGTGTGTCAAAAGGGCTGAGTACATAAGCTGTGGCTTGTCTAGACAGCAGAATCTTACAGCTGTGAACAAGGATGAAAGAGCTCTGTTTGATGTTGCCATTGGTGTATATGATGTGGATGTTGTCTATACCAAGTGAAAAAGCTATGGATAATATATATCAAATGCAAATGTTTGACTTTGGTTATTACTTTTTGCTCATTTTTTTAACTGTATTTTTTTGTCTGTTCTTCTTTGGTACTGGGGATCGAACCCAGGACGTTACACTTGCTAGGCAAGCG